CAGTATAGCCAGATGGCAAAAGTATAGAAAAAGAGTTATAATAAAGTACATGTAAGTCTAATGAAGATATAAAGTTTAGAAAAAATTAGATATCTATTAGTTTAGAAAATATTAGATATAAAAATTGATTATTTTTTATGAAATATTATTTTCTTAATTTGGAATACAAATTTGACAAATAAAACAAAGAAAATAAATTTGAGGATAAAAAATTGAGTATTAAAAATTTTAAAATTTTAACAGTTTAACTCAGTGGTACAAAATATACAAATTATAGAAGATGATAATCTGAGATGATCTAGAACAATAAACTTATGTAAACAGAAATGTGAAAAAGAATATAAACGGTTTGAAAATTAGGATTCATTTTCTTCTTTAAAAGTTAGAAATTAAGGTTCATTTTCTCGTTCACGTTTCATGAAGAATTCAAAAGTACTGATTTTAAAAGAATTTAAGCTAAGTGAATTTGTGACTTCAAATGGAATTTTTTTTTTTTTATTTATTGCAACAACTGCATATATCTATGTGCAAGCGCAAATTTTTGTTTCAAGTATAATTAAAAATTGATAATTACGAATTAAAAATAAAATTAAATTACTAGATTTTTTTAAATTAAGTTGTTATGCTACTTGGTCAATATTTAGTTCCTTAATTCTATTATGATTCTATAATTTTATTTAGATTAGAAATAATAAAAACTATTGGATTCATATTTTTTATAAAATTTCGATTCGAGAAATTCAAAGTCAACAACTATTTTGAATCACTTGACTTTAATTTCTGTAATTATTAAAATATATATTTAAAACGGTGCCTTGATATTATTTTCATTACTTTTGTTTCAGTGGAGCAAATTTTCCGAGAAGCTAATGTATCTCTAAATGGAAATATAAAATATGAAGACTTTGTAAAGATAGCGTGTGCTCCAATTCCTGACTATTATTAAGTACTTTGAGAAAAAAAAAAAACCAAATTTTTAAACATAAATTATACACTCAAAGTGATACAAAGAAAGTATTTTCTTGATTTTTCGTAAATTATATATTTCGTACTTAATGATGAAAAAAATATATTATATATTTTTATTACAACGAAAAAATTTTATCGTTAACTAATTTATTCACAATTATATAATAAAAGTGTCTATTCACACGTAAAAAGTCCTGATAAATCCACGCTGCGTGAATAAAAGGACCTTTACAATCACGCAGCTGGTGAGCCAAAATTTCTGCGAGCTATGTTCAAAAATTGAGAAACGGAGAATAAAAGATCGGACAGACTCGTAGCTAAAAACAATAACATGGCATTCAATTTGCCTAATTTTATTACGATCATATATGAGCACTCTTTTGTGGTGATAGCGACTCGTTTATGGCAGGAGTTACCATCGGATATTATTAATTCCAGTTTACTTGAAAATTTTAAAAATAAATTGTCAGTGAACTTACATACAAATTAATAGATTAAGGAAATCCTTTCGCTCCAGTTGAATCAAAACAATTGTAGTAGTCAATATACGATAAATTAAAAAAAGAAACCCATAAAAATTCCTAAAATTAAATAATAAATAGTATATGAGGCATTAATCGTTGAAATTTTGAAAATAAAAAAAAAAAATAGTTAAATACAAAAATTAATTTGACTCTTTCAAATCAACTGCTAGTAACCTGTCCGTGATTTGGCAACGCTGTACTTCGGTTGTTTACATTTTCATTTGCACAATATAATCTTAACCACGTTTAAGTTTTTGCAGTCAGTGTAAATAAATAAATTAGTTTGAATTTATTGAATGGTCTGAATAAGCTCGCGCGCTACGCAACGTTGCCAAATGTTTTGACTCCATTTTAACGTAGGTTACTTGAGAATTTTTTGTGATTTTTAAATATTAATTTCTCAATAAATATCTCGGTAACTGATATATTTTATTGCAAAAAAAGAAACCTGAATATTTCGAAAATTTAATTTTTAGTTTTTTTTTACTTCATCTAATCCATGACTGATAGTAGTATATTCGAGAAATACTGCAAACGACTGACTTTCTCGTAAGACTCTGAACAAAAATACTAACATTTAAAAATTTTATTTTCTCAAAAATTTGTCCGGTAAAGTATAATCTAAACCTCACTATTAGATAAATAAAGACCTTAACTATTAGAAAAAAATTGAATTTAATCATAATCTAATATTTTTTATTTTACATTGGCGGCGAAAGGACCTCCTTAATTCTATTAAATAATCTCAAAAATACAAAATGCTAAATATTATCTTTGTTTGATTATTGTAAATAATGTAAATTCTAAACAATGTATTGAAATTTATTTACTGATTTTTGAATTTCCAAATTTACTAAATAAACATTATATAAATATATCATAGTACTTATGTGACTATAAAACTGTTATGTATCTTTGTCATTCGGCTTTTGCCTTGGTATATGGTTAAATGATTAAATAAAAAAATTTAAGACTCTTAAATTCACGCGGCGTGGATTTATCAGGACTTTTTTTACGTATGAATAGACATGTCCTTATATAATTATCATTTAATGTCTAAAAATTCTAGCTAATAAAATAAAAATTTATCAACAAAAGAAGTTTTCTTTTCTTGTCTTAAAATCTCTAGCCATTTAAAATTAATTTTAAGGCAAAATTAATTTTCAGCATACGACTGACTACTGAGCTCGATAAAACTCATTTTTATTTTTTTTCCGTATGCAATTTAAATTTAATAGATCAGAGATCCGACTTTTAAACAATATGTTGTAAAACAGTCTATATCTCAATCTCAACTCAAATTGTTAGTTATATACTATGACATAAGCTAAAATAAAAAAAAAAAAATAGACCTTTTTTACCATTCAGTTTAGTTAATGTTCTCGATATTAAATCTCTAATGGAATTTTTTCTGCAATTCATCCTTTTAATGACCTGGTATGAGATTTCCTTAGATGGCTTAGATGGCTTAGAGTAGCATTTATTTGTTTTTTTTATTACAAGAAAGGAATTGAGTTGAAGTAAAGGAGATAAATTGGTAAATTACTTGTTGATTGATTCATTGAAAGAATTAAAACTTGTTGATTAATTAATTTTTAGAAGAAGTCTTTTGATGACCTGGTCATATTAACACAGTTCAACTATTTATTTATTTATTTAAATATTATAAATAATGAACCCAACAGCAGACATTGAATCTAGCTAAGAAAAGAATCTTATCCATGGAAATAAATTCTAAAAATTTTTGAAAACTTTAACTCGTATTAATTATACAATTGACTATGTATTTCATCATAGTGTCATAAAACATTAATAAGTTGATCTTCTTGATTGCGACTTGGCTTTCTTTTTGATTATGAAGTTTCATGTTTCCGCTAAAATGATTAGATGTGCGAATCAAAATTGTACAATTAATTTTCATAGCGAAAGAACTTAAGGTAGTTGTCGTGGTTAAGCCACACCGTCAGAAAATTTAAAATTTGTGTATACTTATTACACGGAAAAAAAAAAACTCGAAAAAATACACTATAAATAATAATAAGTGTCCCGTCGTATGAAAAACTAGAAAAATTACAGTTCAAAATAACATTTTTCTAATTTCAAACTTTGAATGTTAATTTTCAGAGCTTTTAATGTAAATATTACATTCTACAATGCAATTCTTATAAAATCTGTAATAATTAGAATGTGAAACTGTAATTTTTCCACTTTTCATCTCGGAGTGCCACGTTAGATTATATATTGTAATTTTTCTAGTTTTCTTTTTTCCGTGTAAAGACATGATGATACAATACCCTAAAAATTTGAAGTCAATTGACCACCTATAACTCGAGATGAATTAAATTAAAAATTGGATATTTAACATTGATTGCATACGCTCTCTACAGTTCTGTACCAGTTTCTTAATTATAAAAAAAAAACTAACTGTCGGAAACTTTCAAAAAACTGAAAGTCTTTTAATGCATTTGTTGTGAGTTTAAAAAAAAATAATAAAAAATTTTTTACTGTCTAATTATTTATAAATAACGGATTAAAGTTCAACAATTTAGGAAAAAATATATATCTACGGAGTCGGACAGAAAAAATTGTACGGGTTGCATCTCCACGGGTACAGTCTTGCGTAAAAAGTATGGATTACTTATAGCTACAAGCTTATATACTTTTGTTGCGCGTATAATCTCTAATTTTTTGACAATATTGTACCATGACAACTACCTTACAAACTTTTATTATTTTTTGAGATTAAAAATTAACCACGCACATTTTGTATTTCATATTTTTATTTTTATTGCCATTATTATCGTGTACTCAACGATTATTCAATAACAATTTTAATCTTAATATTTAAATATTTACAAAAAAAGCCATATTTAATTTTCTTTGCAAACAACATGGAATTTGTTATTCTACTTAGAAGATTTTAAATTCAACCTTTTATCGTCTCCTCAGTTGGTGGTGAACCAGAAAGTATAACTGCTGTACTAATAGCAGTCGTCAAAAAAAAAATACACAGCAATACACGATCGCTAACGAGAGCTATTTGTTTCCACTCCAGTTCTGTTTGTTCTCGTTGATCTTGATCACTTAGTCGCCGTTCATTTTTTTCAATTGTTGAGTGAACTTTACGTAAAATTTTTGACCAATACTCTTCAACATTTTCTTCTCTTGTTGAATCTTGAAATAAAAAAATTTTCTTAAGTAAAGTAAATTTTCAGATGATTAATTATAATGAATATTTTTATATATTATAAAGTTCGGTTTGTATATTTTGAAAGTTAAGGGGGTATTCTGGTCTAGAAGCCTAAATTTTAGGCATTTTTCAAACTAACATAAAAAAAAAATGAAAAACATTTTTATAATCCGTTTTTTTATATGATGTTTATTGACAGTTCAAGAATATAAAAAAAAATTAAAAAAAAAAAAATTAAAAAAAAAATAAATTTGACAAATTACAGGGCGGTGAAGTGGGGGCTACAAAAAAAACGGTGCACTCTGGTTGACATGATTCCAGCCCTTGTAGTGATATGAAACAAAAAAATTTGAGAAATTCTCAATCCGTAAAGATGTCGCTATCGTGTTGACTATAGAAAAAAAAAAAAAAAATTCACAAAATGGCGTCGACATAAAATATCAATTTTTTTTACCCCTTTTTTTTGACCTTTTCGAATTTTTTAAAAATACTCCAAATTGAAATTTTTTGAAATCCACAGCAGACGCGATAGAGAGATATATAAAACAAATTCCCACTAAATTTCAAAGGAATCAGTGGGGTAGAACTTAAGATATCATGTCAACCACTTTAAAAAAAGTAGTTTCGAGAAAATCGCGCTTAAAGTTTGAGAAACAATTTCAGTAAAATGACTCACAATAATATTTAATATTCACTTTGGATTAATCGCGAATCCCAGATCCATAAATTGAGCCTTCTTCTACTTCCTACTCGATGTTTTGCGAAGTTCTTTCTGCTAATCGAGCTGCTCTGCCTTCTATTGAAGAAGCAGAAGCAGAAGAAGCTGCATTATAAAATCCACTGTATCTCCGAAAATAATTCGAATTTTGAAAAATCCACTCAATACCCCCTTAAGCTTATAGACTTGATAACTTTCAGAGTTATGGAGTACTCATAATAAATCAATTATATTGTTTTGATATATTACGTGTGAAAAGGTAAAAGAGCGCACAAAAAAAAATTTTTTGCCATTTAATTTAAAATCGTTCAAAACACCAAGATCTCCAAAATAAAAATTTCAAGCATCCTAAAGCTAAAAGGGCACATAAAAAAATTTAAGTTTTAATACAAAATGCTGATAAATAGTTTCACAAGACAAGTTAAATTTAATAAGAAACAGTCTAGTATACAAAGATTATTTATTATAAAAAAGAGAAAAACGAAAAAAATTGTTTACTTTCATAGTTATACTCAGTTTCTGAATATAAATTTCGCATGACTAAAATTTTTTTAATAATTATTTACAAGTGGGGTCAATCCATGCTGGGCCATGTTAAATTTTTTTTCATCAAATTAATCAATTTTTTTTTTTTAATTGTTTGTTTTTTTTATATACTTTAAAAAAAAAATATATATCAAAAACATCAAAAAAAGATTAAGTACAAATTTTATCCAAAAACATGAAAGTCAATTTTTTTTCAAACTTATAAAGGCAAAAAAGTTATCGAAATCTTTAGTTTTCCCTTTCACGACATTTTTTATCATAAATGCACCGTAAAAACAAGCAGAATAAAAAAAAATTTTTTAAATGTTAATTTTTCACCTAGTTATGGCCCAAAGTGGGGTTGACCCCACTTGTAAATAATAACCATTTTTTTGACCTACGGCACATTTTTTTTTTCAAAATTAATTAAAAATTAAAAAAAGATTAAAATGAAAATATCAATTTTTAATTAAAAATTTTTTTTATACAAATTATGAAAAAAAAAAAACCAAAATTTTACTAATTTTTTTAAAATTCTCGTCTTGGATTGTGAGTTACGCCATAAATCAGAATAATTTTTTAAAGAATTCGAAAATGTTAATTTTTTTGATTTTTTATGTATTTTCTAATTTTAATTTTGATTTTAGTTTTTTGTTCAATTTTTAGGATTTAGATAAGTATTTCATTAAATTACTCAAAAAAAAAAATTTATAGGCGCTTTCAGCTTTAGGTCATAAAATTTTCAAATTCTAAAAACTAAAAAGGGTGCATAAATAAAAACGTACGCCGTTTCAGCTTTGAGAAATCAATGTTTGAGTTTTATATTTGAAAAATATCAACAAGTTGATTGGCGATAAAAAAAAATTATGCACCTTTTTACCTGGTGGCACGCGAAATAAATAATCATCTTTTTGCGGTCAATAAATATATTGAAAAATTTATATTAATACACCGTACTAAAAAACTTATTTTACCTAAACTAGTACTGCTATCGTGGCTTTCACATCTAGTATTTAATTTCGTTGATCGTTGACCAAGCGTTGGGTAATGCAGAGGACATGTATTTTGTTCTAACGTTATATCTGTTGAATCTTCATATTCGTTCAAATGCGTATTATTTTGATTCTGTAACAAATAAACATACAATTAAGTTTTTATAACAGGTTCCGTATTTCTTCAGTACCCTAAATTATAGAACATCAATTGTTAGTTTAAAAATTTTTAAAAGTATCCAAACCTCAGAAAATTTAAGAAAAACTAATCTAGCTAATTTTTCAAGAACTAATGATTTAACCAGTGGTGATACTTTTGAACCACGCAAACCACGATGGTGGAAATTCAATGTTACAACAGCTAATCCACTTGCAAAGGATACTAAGCAAATGCTAACACCATAGTAAAGACCTGTAAAATTTGAAAATAAATAAAAGTAATTTATGGTGGAATAATTATCAACAATTAAATAAAATTTCTCACTTATTAAAGGTGTTTTTTCAGTAGGTGGAAGCGTTTCTCTAATAGTCATAAGGAAAACTGTCATCGATAATAATGCTGAAATTCCTAAGGTCACTTTTTCACCTGATTCGGAGGGGACATAAAATACTAAAAGAGCTAGAAAAATAAAAATATACTTATTTGTTGACTTAATAGATATAATATATTTAAAAGAGAAAACAAGGATGAATTCAAACACTCAAAATATGAACAAAAGACTTGTATCTGTCTTAATGGAATTTTTAATTCTAAATGAAGACTAGGTCTGTCAAGTAGTAGAGGGATAATTTATATGTTTTGAAAAATTTCAACTCTTAAAAAAATTGCTACTATCTGATTTTCATTTTCTATTTAAGTAAGTTGAATTACTTATAAATTATAGTAATATATTATAAACTTAAATACAAAAAAAAAATTTTTTTAAACTAGAAAAATGGCGCTGAAGTCGCCCTCTCAAAAAAAAAAAATGGACCTGACTGGTGGAAGTAGATTGATCTCTCCCTCTGATTTGAAATTAAAAAATATGACTGATTTTTAATTAGTATAAGTATAGTTATCGTGTATACTAGAATGAAAAAAAAAAAAATATATTTGACAAAATGGCGCGTAGTTTAAAGTAAAAATCCGAAATTCGTTTTCAAAAAATATTTTTTACTACGCGCCATTTTGTCAAATATTTTTTTTTTTGCATTAAATTCTTGCATTAAATTATGGAATGCAGAGATAACAAATATAAATAATGCTGTGAAGCGGGAAAGAATAGAAGTTACGGATAATTATTACGTGAAGCGTAAT